CCCCTCCGTGCTCTCCTCCTGCAGCCTCTTCATTCTCTCCAACGAGACCGTCAACATCTGGAGCCATCTGCTCGGCTTTGTGCTCTTCTTCGCGCTCGGCATCTACGACCTGACGGCCGTGCTGCCCAAGGCCAGTGCCTCCCGCGAGGACTTTGTCATCTGCTCCGTTTGCCTCTTCTGCTTCCAGGTGAGGCTGCCCTCCCACTAGCCCCAGGCTGAGGGAGAAACCCCTGTCTGGGTGCAGGAAGGGTGTAAAGGCCCTTAGCTCAGCTGCCCAATATATCATATCCAGGGGATGGGGAAGGAAGCACCTGGCTGAAGCTGAGGTAGAAAAAGGTGGCCTGGAGCTCGGTACAGGTGTCCATGCTTTAATGGACAGGTTCCCTGAGGTCAGCGCAGAGGAGGGCGGTACATGCAGAGGTAGTATCAGTTCCTGCCGAAAAGGAGAGCGACGGGAAGATAAAGGGCAGGGGCAGCATGATGTAATTCTGCAGTTGTACTTGGGCTCTTGCTTGAACCTTCATGTTTGCGCCTTGGGGGAAGGATGGAGCTGGTGGCTGCAGTAGGGCAGCTCCCCTTGTTTTCACTTTCCAGGAGTTATTCAGATCCTTAGTTATCCCTGTAATATCTGATCCTTCAGTAGCAAAGTCGCTGTAAGCAACTTGCTGCTGACTGCAGTTGTCCTTCTGCTTTTTAGCAGATGCATTTTACCTCAAAATATTTGTCCCAGAAGGCTGTAGTCCCTAAAATGTGCATGCCTTACAAGACATTCTTGCATTCTTTCTCATTCCTGTTCCAGAGAACCTAAGTCTGAAACAAACCTTGAGCAAGTAAGTTCTTAATAAAATAAATATAGGGAAAGTTCAGTTCTTAACAACAATAACGCACAACCATGCTTAGTCTACTTATCATATTTCAAAGCCAGGCAGATGATACTTTACAAGACAGCCTGGGAAACACGGTCTTGCTGCAGCAGCACATGTAGGCAAGTTAAACAAGGCAGCTGTTGGCCACTTCATCCTGTTGATAAGGATTTGTCCTACATAAAAAAAGCATCTTCTACATCTTCTGAGCCAGGACACGTGTGTCTCAGAATAAATCTGTTCTCTTTTCAGCAGCAAAAACTTAAAATGTATCATCACTGTATTGCTGAAGCTCTTGTAAAATATACAGACCCCGAAACAAGCATGCCAGGTCAGCAACAAGCATTTTGATAAAATGACTCTCATCAGCGCTGTCGGTGTTTCCTCAAGAACAGAAAAAGCCTTGGTATAACTAAAAGTTCCACAGTGACTAGGGAACTATTTTTGTCTTGCTTTCTCTTACCCTGAGTCTCACAACAGGAGAACACAAAAGAAACACCTGTGCGGCTTGCACAGACAAAGCAATGTCTGCATCAAGTTGTGCAAAGTTTTCCACTAGTTCTTTGGTCTGCCAGAAAAAGCTTCCGTTGGTTGCAGTTGATTAGTGACAGGCATCAGAATTAAGTGATACCAAGTAACAGTGCATAACTTGTATCAAGCTGATTTAGTGCTGAAACATTTAGAGCCCAAGCTTGCTATAATTGCTCTTGCTTTTCAAAAAATTAATGTGTCTTTATTTGAATATTCGTGTAGGTCTGTATGCTTTGCTCAGTAGGATATCATCTTTTTTGTTGTCATCGCTCAGAGAAAACCAGCCGACGATGGATGGCGTTAGATTATGCAGGAATTTCCATTGGGATCCTGGGCTGCTATGTATCAGGCGTGTTTTATGCATTTTATTGTAATAACGTAAGTTTAAAGCACTCGTTCCTATGACATTAATACCTGTGCTCTCACTGTCATGGTTCACATGCCTTAGAAAGGGGGATTTATTACATAGTGTACAAGTAGCATATAGCCTGGAGAAAAGCAGTGGGAGCAGAGAGTTCGAGTTGGGTGTCAGCACAACTGCACTTGTTCAAGGCATGGGCAAATGCCTGTTTGTTTGTTTTAACCTGCCAACCACATAAGTTTCAAAGAAATTCATGCGTTTTTTTCTGAAAGTAGTGTAACGTCTATGGGTTTTACTCTTTGTCAAATGTATGAGGTTGATTATGGGATGTGTCCAAATCACAAGTGCATTAAGCATCATTTCCTACAAGGTGGCTTGGGACATGCTTGTTACTCATGTGACAACTACAAATAGTTCCCCTCTACCTTTATTTATATCCATGTTTGTAACTTGGCAGCTTTCTGATAAGCAGTGTAGTCTATGTAAAGTAGCAATCTGGTATTTGAACTACACACCTTAGATAGAGACGTATTTAAAATGCTTTTTAATTAAGGCAGTGCTTGAAATAAATGGTGTTCTAGCAGAAAGTGTAGTGCAGTCATAGGATGCCAAACGTGGACTCCTGTTAAGCGTGCCAAATGCTTAACAGGAGTCCATTCATTCAACTCCTCTCATTTGAGCTCACAGAAGTGATGAGGAAACTGATACATCACTGCTCTTAGTAACCTGATCTTTCTACCAAGAACCTGTTTTCTCACAGAGTGAGAAAAAAACGGCCAATTTGCTTTTGTTTCTTTTTTTTTTTTTCCCTCAGTACTGGCGTCAGGTATATCTAATCACTGTGCTGGCAATGATCTTGGCAGTGTTTTTTGCTCAGATTCATCCCAGTTACCTCACGCAACAGTGGCACAGGCTGCGCTCTATCATCTTTTGCTCAGTGTCGGGATATGGAATTATTCCTACAATTCACTGGGTTTGGCTCAATGGAGGGATTGGTGCATCTATTGTACAGGTAAAAAAAAATGTACATATATATCAACAAATAAGATGGCCTTTTGTTTTTCTCTTTTGTCTTCCCTCAGCTCTCTTATTTTCCCTTTCACCCTTTTGGAATTGAGGGGGATATAGTGATAGTGATTTTTTTTTTAAACAGAGGTTTTCTTTGGATGGCATTATCTAAATGTAAATATTAAGATTTCTTGAGAAGGAGTAACTAGGCTGAAACAAATGTGACTACATATGTGTGTGTGTGTGTGTATGTATGTGTACATTCCCATATATATATGCAAGTCAGATGACTTGCCACAAGAGAGCCTGGAAAAGAGCTTTACTACAGCACAGACTGAGGCAAGACCAGCAAGGCTGGGCTGACCACACCCTCACTGGAACATGCTTGTCAGGACCAGAAGGGAGAAGAGTAAGACGACGCTGATGAAATGATAATTTGCTCCCTCTTCTGTACCCACAACTTGTGGCAAAATCACTATCTGCACACACAGCGCTCTGCCTTTATACAACCCTCATTTAACATCACTGTGAAGTTACCCTACTATTTTCCTGTTCCTGTTGTGCCATTTAAAATTATGGCTAAAGGATACTCAGTCCTGAAAACAGGAAGCATAAGACAGCCAGAGGATGAAGTCCCTGTAATTACCTAGGGACATAATTATGCCAAAAACCACCTTTACTTTCCCTCAGCAAGCATTAACTGCAAATTTCCAGACTGGCACTTTGTGAGAAGTGTCATCTAGGGCCATGACTTAACCTGATGTAGAGCTCCTCCTGCATTTATCAGTACTTGTAGCCCTTTAGGCAAGGCACTTAACACTGGGCTCGTAAAAACCAGCTGAGCAGCTTTTTTTTTTTTCCAGTGGAGTTTGTCCTGATGTAGCAGAGTGATACATGCAATACTTACTGTGCTCCTGTGAGAACTACTCTGGTCTTGGCAGTAAAACTCCCTGTTAATGGCAAATGAACACAAGCAACCTACACCAATGCATCGCTTAGCAGTCATGTCGGTTTGCTGCTTGAAAATCTACTACATAATGTATAATGTGGTTATGGTGTCTAAGTTACCATCTGGGAAATCTTAATTGTGTGAGCTATTTTAAAAGTTTCCTTATTTCCCTCCTGTCATGACTGTGATCCAAGCTTTTGAGACCCAGCTGTCTCCTCACTTTGCCTGGCCTTTTCATGATATAAACAATCAGATTCTGTTCCACTTGTGGGTAATGAAGTAAAACTCAGTGTTGTCATACCTTCATCTGTAGACTTCTTCACATTCATGTTTTACCTGTTGTAGGAGTTTGCACCACGTGTGGTTGTGATGTACTTCATTGCTGCAGTAGCTTTTCTCTTCTATATTTCCAAAGTTCCAGAACGATACTTTCCAGGTATGAAATTTTCTTCAGGGTGTGGTGGTTTTTTTTGTTTGTTTTTTTTTTCCTTCAGTTAAGCTTCCTACAGTGGCACATTCCTTGTTGCAAGTCCTGAACTTCTAGTGACATCATAGGTTGAATACATTCTACATTAAATATTTTCATACAGAGTAAAAAGTTATTTGTAGTTAAATCAAACAAGCTAGACATAATTCCTTTTAATTCCCATGAAAAAACTTAAGCTGAGGTTCTGAATGATAGCTTATTGCATTGCATGAGTTACTGCTGAATTTAAGAACTTAGAAATTTCCCTTTTTCTTTCCAACAGGACAGCTGAACTACCTCGGATCTAGTCACCAAGTATGGCATATCCTTGCAGTAGTGATGTTGTACTGGTGGCATCAATCCACAGTTTATATCATGCAATATAGACACACCAAGCCCTGTCCTGAGTACAGCATGGACTTGTGAGTGAAGATCTAGCCTTTTTTGTACCTGTGAGAAGGTAAAGTACTAGCATGTATAGGATTAAAAAATAAAATTTCATTTTTAATTACATGTTTGTGACTAAACATGTAATCACATGTTACAATTAATCTTCCTCATTGAAGGAAGTTTTGAGTGCCTCCAGAGAAAGCAGTGACTGGTGTAATGCTTTTGAATAAATAAGCAGTCTGTTCAAGATGAAGTCCTGCACTAAGCTATACTGCTGAGAGGCTTGAGGCTCCAAGAAGATGCCATGCCCATGGGCAGAGTTTTAGAATAGGCTGGACCCTTTCATCTCTGTTTCGCTTCTCTAAGCCTGTAAAAGTGGCTGTTCTTTTATTCTTACAAAGCCCTAAGGTTGTGTGTGTTTTTTTGTTTGGGGTTTTTTTTTTTTGGCTAGTTTTAAGCTTATTAGGTTTGTTGTTGTTGTTTTTGTTTTGTTTTTGTTTTTTTTTAAGAATTGAAGAGATTATTTATTTCCTCTGGGTATTAAATGACAAAACTTCTCTCCTCTCTCTTTCAGAAGCATCTTACCGCAATGATATTTCTGATTATGAACATCTGGACCTTGCCTAGATGCTGAACTATGAAGTTATGCACGGAAGCGGTTCCTCTCCAACTTCTCCAGTGTTTCTCTGCTTGCTGGGATGTTCATTATCCGCAGTTTTGAAGAGAGCAACGAAGTCCAGGCCTTGGATTAATTTCCTTCTGAACCGTTTCCTCCTTGGCAGTGAAGTTCATAACAGGTCTTCCTGGAGTCGATGATGGTGAGATGTGAGATAAAGTACAAGGATCACACAAGGATCTTTTGCTGATGGTAAACATGAACAACGTAAGTACATGCTCTTCATGAGCTAACAGACTAAGTGGTTCAGTGATTTGCAGGTTTTTGTTCAAGTGTAAAAGGAAGGACCACACTCCTAGCAGCCTTCTTTTAAAAGTATGGGGAATGATTGGACCTGATCTTGAATCTCAATCACATCAGTACAGTGTGCTGTGTCTTTCAGCGTCATTGTGTGATGTGCTTATGCTTAAACATCAGTAGTGATGTCTAAAATGTCTTGTACTTTTGTAGAAAAGCTTTTTTCCTTTTTTTTTTTTTTCAAAATGAGAGCAGGTATCATCCACTGTGGCTTTCATTGCTCATCTTCAACAGCTTCCCCCACTAGGGACCTTGCCATTACTTCAGTGACTTCTTCCAACACCTAGATAAATCCCTTAGGTACTTGTAAAATACTGCAGTTGTGAAATGTTCTGAGGGTAGCAGTGTTCAAGTTCTATGCACTTTTGACAGTTGCAAAGATTTTTTTTTTAAGAAGTTTGATGTCTTCTGTTTACAGGTATAAATAATCCACCCTATTTGAGTTAGGGATACTGGTGTGAATTCTAATCACTTACCTTGGCCTTTTCGTATGATATATCATGCTGTACTTACAGCACTTTCTTACTGAAGAAAAGACTTATTGCTGTAAGTTTTCTCACAGTAAAAATAATTGCCTTGGGTTTAAACATAAAAGGTAGTTCAACATGCCTTGTAAGCACTAAAGAGACTTGAAAGATACAGGTTTTCAGAGAGCTGCAACTCAGCTCCATGAGTGCCAGTTTTTGTAACAGGGTAGGAATTTTTCAGATTTTTTTTTAATAAACATTTTAAGTGGCTTTTGTAGAACAGCTGCTTGTGTTTACAGTTCAGTTGAGCTGTGGTAGCAAATGCTGCATGGCATGATCAGGTGTTAGTTCAGCATTTGTCAAGTGTTTTCCTCTGCATGCATCAAGATTTTGTTAATGCACAACTTATACAAGCTGGAAGCAGAACAGTTGTAAGACAGGGTTGTGTCAGTACCAGGCGTGTCACAAAGCAGGTGAACCTGTAACTGTTTCTGCTATGGCTACAGGCAGAAACATTCTCTCCTGGGATCATCATCATGTGGTACACAATCACAGAATGGCTGATGTCACTAGAAATCCACTTGGTATCTGCAAGTGTGGCCTTCAACAATGTACAAATCTTGACTCTTATTGGGGTAAACTGACAACAGTCGTCCCACAGCCAACTGCGGGTAGCCTTGTGCCATTTTGAACAAATAGTCTTACCCAAGAAGGCGAAGGAGGAGATGACCTAGGGCGCAGATAAGTCTAGCGGTGGGCTAGATGCTGCACAACACCCAGGAACAGCTCTTGCCTGGCTTATCCTCTGCTGTTGCCTTTGCCCTTCTCGCAAAGTGTTACCTTGCCCGTAGTGATAGTGTAGCCTGCCTACCCCTAGGGCAGCAGGGCCCTCTCAGCATAGTTCAGGGTGAAGGGAGCTCTATGGGCCGCTTGCCCAGCCTCCTGGGGAGCGGTACTGCCTCCACGTTCAGCCAGATTTGGGCAGGGCTCCCTTTCATCAGACTTTGGGAAACTTAGAAGGACAACAACTGCCCAGCCTCCCTGGGACTGCTTCCCTCTGCTTTACTGGCTTTGGGGGTAGCACCCAGCCAGGGCTGCATCTGCTTCAGCTCGCACCCTTGTGCAGTCTGTCATCCTCTGGCCATGCTCCTGCAGGCCAACCCAGCTGGTACTGGGTCCCTTGAAGCTGTCACTCCCCTCTCCTGGCTAAATAGGCCCAGCTGCCTCTCTTCTTGTAGGGAACAATCTGTAGTCCCCTGGACCTCCTGGTAGCCCTAAGACGTAGGAGCTATTTTCAAAGACATAGTGAAACCAACGTCACTGTTAAATATTTCATGCCCTGCACTTTCCACCTCAGATGAATTTTAAGCCCCACTGGGGTATGCTGGCGTTTGCTGTAACAGGATACCATTAACCATAGATGTTCATCAATGGAGCATTTTTGTCAACTCTGAAAACACTTAACAGCAAGAACTGACTTTGCACTTAGAATTTAACTCCCACCCCCTGGAGCTTTTTCATGTGAACATTGAATGATTTTTTCTTTAAACTTGACAGCCAAGCAAGTTTCAAGTGCACTACTGATTGCTACTGCAGCCTAACAAGGAACATGCAAGTTAAAAGGCCTGTTTCCAGTGTTATGTAAACAGTATTTGAACAATGTGTGATTGTGTCTTGAAAGCATATTGATTTTATAGATGGCTAGATTTTTTTTAAATGTAAACTAACTACTGTAGCAGTTTTCATCGGATAAGGAAACTGATTGCCAAGTTGTACATTTTTATTACCCTGATAAAATTTATCAAGCTGCATGACACTGATTTATTTAAATATTGAGCTTGTAAATAAACTTTGGTTTATTGGATGTGTACTGAGGGTAAATTATTTCTATTGAGTACTAAGCTCAGGAGTTTCATGTTAATCAAGCAAAGGATGTTGAAATGCCCAGCCACAGAACCACTGGCCACTCCCTAAAGACAGAACAAAGTAAGGAGACTATTCCTTGAAATATCAAGGACGCAGCTGAGAGCGGCAGGGCAGGTGATTGAGTGATGCAGGTGATTGAGTGATGCAATTTTTATATATAAAAATACACCATATAGTATAATGCATTGAGTGATGCATTTATTGCACGGCCTGGTATCTGCATGAGTGGCTTCAGGGTGTTAGACATTGTACCTGCTGATTTACTCCATTTTGTTAGCCCCTTTTCATCTAGATTGCTTGTACCCTAAGAGCTTGGGCCATACCTCCTTACCACCAAAACAGAAAGCAAGGGTAATTTCTATGCCTAAGCGTAAAACATTAATATTCTTCCCCATGTAAAGGTACATGTACCCTAGCAGCCATAATCCAAGTGCATGTTAAAACCAGTGATGAAAAGTTATGAACCAACATTTCAACAGCAACCTGCCCCCCTAAACAGCCCCCCGGCCAGAGAGCCAGTGCATGGAGTGTTTCTGTAACTGCAGAGGCCAAACACAAGCCAGCCCGCTGGCACAGCTGCAAGCAGCAGAGCAGCAGCTCTCCCCCCACGGGAGCACGCTGAAGTGCACCCCACCTGCAGCTACGCGCCGCAGCAGCAGCCGAGGCAGCAGGTTGCACCCGTGGCTTTTAGCGCTCGCAGAAGGCCTCTACACCACTAACGTGCAGGATTTCCCAAGTCAGCTTCCTGTCCAACTTGCCCAGGCTTTAAGGAGTCATACTGAGTCCAAGGAATTAGGAATACACAATCAATAGCATTTAAACCACTTGAACAGGAGTGATGATTGGACAGCACATTACAAGCAGCTGAAAACAAACAAAAAAGTACAGACAGAAATTAGAGCCAGAGAGCACACCGAGCAGAAAAAGCATTGCTTATAGTGAAGAGACTGAGGCCTAAGTGCAAACACTCAATAACACAATGTTTAAGAAGATCTGCAAAGTCACTGTATCATGTTTGTTTATTTAACAACTGCATGTATTTTATGACTTACATCAATTACACATAAAAGTTAAAGTTCTCTGTTTAGTGGTACAGAAAAAAAGCTTTAGAAACTTGAAGTCTAACAAGACATGGAAGTGTTCAGGAAAGTGCACTTAAAAGCTGTATACCAGCAATTTTAAAATAGTTTTTATGCTTTTTAGTACTAAGTGATGCCTTAGTCACAACCTTAGCTACACACATACCTTGACCTTCCTTTCAAAAGAAACACAGCAAAAGTATAACCGAGTTGTCACTGTTTGCACTTGTTCCTTGCTCCTTTTTGCAGCTTTTCCATATTCACTGTTTCGGTCACATGAAAATGATTGTGGCTGCAATGTTACTGAAAAAAACAGCAACTCAGAGCTACATGATGTGTCTGAGCATGTGTATCTTTTATATATAATTTTTATATATAAAAATACACCATATAGTATAAAAATCTTCAGATAAAGTTTTTTTTTTTCTCCTCACAGTAGTAATTATATCAACTTAATTTCACAGTAGATACTTGGTTTTACTAATGGGGACTCCCACAATGATTAAAAGGTATTTCCTTGAAAGCTGGTATTCACGAGTCCTTCCTTACACAGGTCAGCAGAAGACATCCCGCGCACCTCGCGGCTCTTATTTTGAGGGCTAGCAGAGAAAGTCCACTTGATTTCTTTAAGGATCTCAACCACTTAAGGCTTTTAGTACTTTCCGAATGCATCTCATAGGCAGCCGATTTGGAGGGGTCCGTGGTTCTGTCCTTTAACATGCTAAGAGAAAAGCTCTAAGTGAACTGATAGTCTCAGGTGTTAGGGCCCTGTCAGTTCCTTACCTTGCCATCGTTGTGTTCACCAGCAGCGAGGTCCCCCCATAGCGCTGCAAGTCTTTGCATTATTTCAGTTCAGGTGCAAAGTGCACACGTCCATGCGCACACTGAACACCAGCAACACATTTCCCCTCGAGTACCCTGTTTGTCCCTGTCAAACAGGGCATCTTAGCTGAAATCCAGGCTGCAAACCAAATCTACCAGGCAAACGTAACTTGGAGAGGCATTCTAGCCTCTTTTCAGTCCCAAAAATAAGATAGAAATATTTCTAACTCTAATAAAACTTTCCAAAATACGCAAAAACTCATCTCCTAATGAGAATACACAGGACAAAGTTTATTAAGACCATTGGGAAGCAAATATCATTGGCCATACTGAAAAGCAGCCAGAGGCATCATGCTAGCTCTAGGCTAACTTGGCTCTACGGTTCACTTCGATTTCTTCTACTAGGTGTGGGGTATAACCTAACCCTGCCTGCACTGCAGTCAAACCACTTCAGAGGCCCCTGCCCAAAAACCACACTCAAAGAAAACCTGTAATGCTGCTCCGCCTAAAGTCACAGAGAGGAAAAAAAAAAAAAAAAGACAAAAACATCACCCACCCATGTGCAGTGATGTCTTTTTTTCTACTCATAATTCACCTGAAGGTTTAAGACCACATTAAGTCTTAGTCCTAAACTACTGTGGATGCACAACCCAATTGTCCATTTTCATCTCATTTTGTTTGCACCCAGCTGCCCCACTTCTCTGCAATATTAAGTTCTGACAACTTTCTAGGTAAGTAAAATCTCAGAAGAAAACTGTACAAAGGCAGCTAATAAGCACGCATAGAAAAGTATAAATCACAGTTAACCTGAGTATCGTAAAATGCTACAAATGTGGCGTGCGCTTCTTACAGCCTTTGGCACAAGAAACAGGTGAGAACAGTACTAATAAAGCCTAAGAAACTCATGTGCAAATAGAGTTGAAACTTTTCTACTCACATCTCTCAAAAGCTTAACTTCTAACCCTGAGAAAGGCCAAGTCAAGCAAGCAGAGCTCTAGTATTTCCATTTCTCCTTGTCAGAAGGATAAAAGCAACATGGGTGCACAGCTATGCATGTGTTGCTTTCAATACCTACTATCAAGAGGAAACCTCAAAACGCATCTGAAACAGCATATTTTCAAGCCAACTGAATAAAAACCAAAGGAGAAAGTTTTTTTGTTTAAACATGTTTAACATTTTTTTTTCTCTATAAATCTTGTAAGGAATTCACCCCTACCCCATCTATGCCCACATCTCAACATTTTTTTTTTTTTTTTTTTTAAAGGAAACTTAGAAATAAGTGTACAACACTATTTCACTTTACCAATGATATAATGGAGAAGAGAGGGGGGAAACACCACCGACACTTGCTGTCTCCATAAACAAGCACTCACTTCTCTGCTCGCCTGCATTCAGCCGAGCAGGATATGAAGATGGGATAAGCAGAGGAACTCGTTCCGTCCACTTCCTCCACAGGATTACCATTGAAAAAAAAGGGAGGTTAACGGGACTGTTCTATTCAGACTCACTCCACAGCAGGTATAAAGGGCTTGACACAAGCTGTGAGGCACTGGAGAGGCCGGCCCCCCCCGGGCAGCGTGTGTTTTCCTAACCACGTCATTAAATCTTGTTTTCAGCAAGTCTCATTACCTTGCTTGCCCATCATGTATCCGCTGGCATTGCACGCTCCCAGGTTTCTTGCCGTGTCTCACGCACCTAACGTCTCCGAGGTACTTGGCAGCAGGACAGGAGTCCTGCCTGTAAGGCTTGGCGGTGTGAAATGCGGTCGAGTTGTACATCTGCGAACAAGCTGCTCCTTACCGCTTCTGTGCTCAAACACATCCGGTTTCAGGGGGGAGTTTCTTCAAAGCTCAGTGCATTTAACAAACCTCTCTCTAAAACAGACTTAAGTACAGTAATAGATTCATCACCACTTAAAAGAATATTAGGTTACAATCTTTTCCTAAAATTATTGTTTTAAAAAACAACACATTTTCAAAGAAGACATATTTTCTTTGTAATAAAAATCCGAGAGGAAAAGAAAAGGCATTTTCAACACAAATCCCACTCATAATCAAACAGAACTGATGGTTCCATTTCACAGTCAACCGTACAAGTAATCTCAAACACTCCATCTGCGCCAGATGTTTTATTCACGGAAACCAGCCTCTCTTCCCCAGCATGCTGAGTAGTTGTCTAAGTGCTGTGAACACTGGCTGCATCCCTGCTGGTTTCTTCTTCTACGTTCACACTTTACATCTCACAACCATTTTATTCTCTGCATCTTTAGTTTTAACTCTAGACTTCCAGTTTACTATTTTACATTAATGGCACTTACTGTAAAAAAATAATAATCAAACTAAACAGTTAGGCACACACACAAGAAAAACAAATCTGCCTTTCATCTCTGCAGCTGCATAGATGACTGCCAGGTCCCACGCTATAGCTGTGCTCTGGAATTCTGGGCCTCAGTCCCTTCGGAGGACTTGGCTTCTTTATGATTAATCAAAACAGCTTTCATCTAGGAAGCGAAGACATAATTTTCAGCAGATTACATTAGTACATTCAGGTTCTTCGGTCTAGAGTGACTGAGACACAAGAACCCACTCCAATTCCTTTAGCCTACTTATATGTAGGAAAAACCTCTACCAAGTGACTTCTGCCCCTCCCCACCCTTCATCTCTGCACATCACACGGCACCGAGAAGACAACACTGAAGTGCAGAGCAACAAAATGTCCCAGGGCCACCAAATCCGTGGCAGACTATGATTCCTATCGGATTGCTCTTACACCCTGGGAAGGACCTGTCATATCAAAATGCTGCTGTCTTCCTCTTCGTCTCCAGATCAGCAACCAAATACGCCATGATTCCGTATTTTGGAGTGCAAGCTGACCACGTTCTCTTCACCGTGAGCAAACTGTACAACCCAGATCCCTGTCAATTCAACAGATACGATATTCCACTAGTTAAAACCTGTATTAAAAGTAACCTGGAGAGATGGGTGCGGCTGGGGAACCCCATGGGAAGCGTCTACTGCTTGGAAGGAAACGGAGCTGCTCCAAAGGGATCCAACTCTAACGCCTGTTGCTGCTGGGTCTGGGCACTCTGCACGACCAGTTCAGTGAAAGGCACTGCCCCAAAGTCATCTGTTTTTAGTCCATCGCCACTGTGAATGGCCCCATGCAAGGAACTCTGCCTAGGTCTACCAGCCACTACTACAGTACCGTGATCCCCACGGTTGTCACCCAAACCTTGATGCTGGGGATGACGCATCAAGTCGGGGGGGTGGAAGGGTTTGGCTCCAAAAGGATCCAGCAAACTCTCGTCCGTCTGCAGAGGGTTGGTTCGATCTTTGCTGTCAGTCAAAGAAACGCTTATGTTCTCTTTGGAGTCCGAGATAGTGAGGAACTCGTTGCTGCTCTGCGAGTCCCTGCGACCTGCCTTCTTGTGCCTGCGGGCTCTCTCGGGAGTGCGGTAGCTTGGTTTCAAAGTCTTTTTTGTGGTGGTTGGCGTGCCGTGGTGGCGCTTGCCATTGTTCTTGGACACTTCCTGCTTCATGCGCCTTTGGCGGGACGAAAGCTTCTGCAGGTTACGCTGTTGTTTCACCCTGTGCTGCTGCTGACTCCCTGTGATCTCTTCAAAAGGGATGAGTCCGAAGAGGTCCTCTTTACTTCCACCAGTGTTTGGGAGAAGGGAAGGCTGGAATGGGGTGCAGCCAAAAATATCGACACCCCGTGGAGAAAGAGGGGAGAGCTGAGTCTCGGCTCCTACCACCTGGCCCTCTTGCTGAGCCACCTTTTTGCTGAACGGGGCTTTTGTGAAGACATCAAAGTCATCCTGCTCTTGGTTCAGGCCAGGAGAAGCAGCCTGAGAAGAGACATCTTGGTTACTCTTCTCTCTTCCTTGTGGCTGAGGCTGAAGAGCAAAGAAGGGCACAGCCCCAAACACATCAAATTCTTGGCCAGAGCTCACCTTGGTTACAGTACTTGGCACTTCAGACAAGGAAGGGAGCATTAAACTGGTTTCTTTAATTTCGCTGCTGCCAATGCCCTCTCTAAATCTGCTGCTTGAGAGCCCTTCCACGGATTTTTGCTTGCTACGATCCAAGTCCGAGTCAGAGCTTTGCTTCTCTTCCTCCTCCTCCTCTTCCTCAGAGTCCATGAGGAGAGGCCGGTGGCCTAAGTTCTCCGGCTCTGTATCGTTGTCATCATTGAAGTCTCCATTCTCACCTTGCAACACTTCCTCATCCTCCTGCTCTTCCTCTTCCTCACTGCTCTTTGGAGAAGGAGGATCAGATTCAAAATCACTCTCTGACTCATCGCCACCTTTCACTTGTCCCTCTGCAGTTTTCCTTCCTGGCCGTGGATCTCTAAAAGCATGGCTCAGCTTTCCAGACTTGGTAGGGCTCCCTAAGTTAATCTCTCGAGCGCTGGCCGAGTTATCCATTTGTTTTCCTGGGGAACCTGCAGGTCCAAAGAAAATGTAAAACAAAACTTTAAAAACTCTCCAAAACCATCAGCACATATTTCCCGTACTCCATGCCCACGCAAAGAATCAATGCAAGCATACGTTCTGTAGTTACCAAGAGGAATGAGCAGAGGTGGCCTGAAGAGACAGCTTTTCTAATACTCTGCCCTACTTAACCAGCAGATCCTGCAGCAGTTCCAAGAGCAACATGTGCAAGATATATATATTTTAGGTTTATGTTTTTTATATAACAGGCTAACTATTTGTTGATATACTTAAGTTTTGATACTGTGCTCTAACAAATGTATCCTTTTCATCATGAAAACAAACGAGTGAAAACAGCAAACCAACCAACCCAACACCACACAGCAACGGCAGACAGATCATTTCAGGGCTTGGTCCTCTCCCTCCCTTAGGCTGAGGGACAGCCTAACATCACTGTCCTACCAAGAAGCCTGCTGTGCAGTTTCTGCTCAGCTCCTTGCAGCAACTGAACAGTCAGGACTTGGAGAGCTTGGCAACAAGCACAACACAAGCATTTCTCGTCTCACTAGCAATGGTCACATACAGAAAAGGAAACACGCACAGAAAACCATAGGGACGTAGCAAGGTCATCAGCTAATACCATCTCTTTCCACTCGCCACACGTGGAGCAAGGATCAAAACTTGGTACGCTGCACTTCCAAGTGAAGCTCTATTCCAGCCGCGCTAGCTAGCCCAGTACCATCTACGAACCTTCAGATGACAACCCCAACAAAGGCCAGACCCCCTTCCTACTAACTAAGCTGCTGTAGTGCCCCAGGTTACGGGCCTGCTTTCAGTCAGGCACTGAGCAACGCAGTGACACCCCCACCGCACACGCTACCCCACACGTGTCCCTCTTCCCTGCAGCTGCTTCCCTGCTCACCGGCCTATTCACTGGTGGCACAACTGACCTCAGGCTCTAGTTCCTAGATGCTTAGACACTTGCCATGCTAAGTCCCTTAATTTTAATCTAACAGCATTGCTCTGAGATACAGCATATCAATACCCAAAAAAGAAATACTTTGGTGCTTGAGTCCACTCTGTGGTTTGCAGAGAAGTCCACACATACTGCAGATGCAGTGCCTGCCACAGCCCTGGGGAAAGGGAATGTTCCTGGTTCAAGAAATTAACAAGCTCAACACACAGCACGGCACTAGATTCTCAGAATCCCACCCACCCTAACGCAGCCCCTTTCACCTGCAGCTTGCTCAAATGGTCATTCTCATTCCAATCAGCTGAACCTAAGTTTTACAAAATCAGTTCCTTTCTTTAAGCACAAAAAGAAAAAAGCCAATTTCTTCATTCAGGAGCCATTTTATCCTTTCACAATACATCCCAAATTAAAATAAAAAATTAGAGATTTTACATACGTATTACAGTATTTTTACATGCTCAAAAGCAAGATGACTGAAATGACTTAAAACATCAGGTGGTTAAGGATTTGAGCTGTTTCTCATTTGCTTCTGGTGTCAGATTGCTTCTTATCTATTCTAATTTTAAATACTACATATTTGGTTTGCCAATAAATTAAAATCTGGATTACTTGTCTGCTTACTTTAGATTTCCCCAAGGTATAGCCTTCACATAGCACTATATAACCCCAAGTCATCCAAATCCTGTCATTTTCAATATTTGCTGGAACACTGCAATGTTAACATAAATGCAATTAGATTAAAAGAAAATCTCTCTAGGTTAGATGTTAACTACGCTTATGTTCAGGAGAAAAAAAACTTTACATCTGTGTCAGTATCCATGTGAATTTATACTCACATGTGGTACCTGCACATCTACACTTAATTACTACTTGCTTAAGACAGAAGTCTTTTTTGCAATACAAGAACTGAATCACAGTTTTATCTCGTGCACATGGTTCACCCAAATGATTTCAATATCGTGCATTAATTATTGCCACAGTCGCACTGCCTGGAAAACAAGCTGCAAATGACACTGGCAAGACAGAATTCTACCCAAGCAGCTCCTGAAAACAAGGAACTGAAACCACGCAATACTGACCAAGCAGACAGGACTTGATAACGCAAGACAAAACATTCAAAACAGCGTTTTCTAAGCAACATTTAATTTACTACCAGCACTCAAGCCATTTTTATGCCTGGCTACTGTCAATAGAAACACCTATGGTTACCACTTTGCTGACAGCAATATCCTGCAAAAGGAAAACAGTCATCTGAAGTTCAGAAACAACTTTTTTTTTTTTTTTAATCTGCATTAACACCCTAAAATTTGCTTCTTGAATCTAACAACTACCGCTGCACTGTATAGACAACGCATTTCTAGATGACAGATTTTTTGGTTGAGTAGGCGCTCACTGGCTCTAGTAACAGCTCGATATTATTCGAACTTGAGCATCCGCATGCACGGGAGCGTGTATGAGAACACGTGCCCAGCCTCAATAGCAAAGCAAGTAGCACCTCAGAGGACTCTGGTAGCTGCAGCTTTCTCTTGCGCTGCACTTTTGAAGAATGCAGTTTCAGTTTTGAAGCATTTTACAAGTGGTGACCTTACTGCTCCCCCAATTCGTACGTTTTGGGAAAAAGGAAGCAGCTTACTTCATTCTCCGGTTTGCGTTGACAGCTTGTTACAGAACAGTCAGCTCCACGCAGACTTCCGTCCAAGACGGAGCTCTTGCCCATGTCCCAGGCTGACGTGGTCACACGTGATCCAAGAGACCCACTCTCGCATGTGCTGTGTCTTCGCCTTATTCCCAGTGGCAGGGAAAATATTCCAGTGGACCAGTGTCAAAACCAAAGCAACAGAACAAAAAACAAGCCCCGCAAGCTCAGTCATTCATTTATCTGTCACTTCTAAAATCGTAACAGTAATCTCTCTTCTAACTACAATTCAACATCTTTCACTCCTAAAGTAGAGAAGTAAATAAATACCTAAAGCCCTACAAATAGAAATTTAATGCCCCGAAAGAGAAAATTCCATGGTTAATGACTTCTTAATGCTCTGGTCAAATAGATTTCAAAAATGAAGTATTCTAGCACGATGATTTCATACCATCTTCTCAATCTGAACTGCTGCAAAGAATCTTCATGGTCATATTTATGAAAAAAAAAAAAAAAAACAACAAGAAAAACCCACTGAAAAATGTGAAGGAACATCTGTTTGTAATGTGCTGGTCGGATTACTACACTTCTAATCAGGTTTGCATCTTACAGGGGACAATTGTTCTTCATGCAAATGAAAGCCAGGTGGAACATCTTTAATCATATAAGAAGATCCCAATCTTGAAGGAAATTTTCTGTTCTGATGTTCTTTTTCTAGACATCCGATTATAAGCGGATGAATTCCCCTTAACAACTGCAGTAATTACATGCCTTCTGCTGGTCCATCATTTTAGGGTATTGCGGGGGTGGCAAGAGAGGGGCTTTAAGCTTTCTTTGAATTGGGAACATACTGCCGCCATCATTCCAGAGCAATTTGCCACATGTCAGGCCCAAGGATTACCAGCATGTTCAACTAAATCTGCACTATTTCTTTGACAACAGCCAGAGCAGCAGCTGCTGAATTTTGTAGTCAATTCACTGTGTTTGCCACCTTTATATCCAAGGAGGGCAAAAAAAAAGGACGGGAGGGAAGCTGGACGCTATATGTTAAAACATGCAGAGGGACAGCATGACACCACTTGTCCTAAGGCTTTGCTAAGAGAAAATAAATAAAAAAATCACCACCCATGCCTGCCTTTCAAAGAGAAAAGGCAAACTACTGGCATAGCCAACATATCATTTATTCTTTTCCATGTGAGCAATGCCCATTCCCTTTGTAAATTGGCCTGTACCTAGAAAAGGAAGCATCCAAAGAGAAACTTGACAACGGAAAACATTCTGTACCTCCATCCATCAGATAATATCCATGTCCGAAAGCCCCAGGGAAGGAAAGGTTACTAAGTACCATCGACATTTTTTGCCCTGAGTACAAAAGTCACATATGAGCTACAGTTTTAACTGCAGAGTGATCCAAACTTGGAAGACTGTGCAACTGTTGTACCAAGTTGGTCATCTTCAGCATTTTCCAGAATTCAACCCAAAACATGAAATGCTGAAGAAATGTGCACTGATTGCATTGATACGCAGGTGAAACACTACAGGAAGCTGGTCCATGTCATCCTCTTGGTACTTTCTTCTCATATTTCACATTTCTTGCTAAGTGATAACTCAATATGAGGCTCATTTAAGGCTTCTCCAGACGTCACTGCAGTACAAAGTTCCCAAAGCTGTGGGACAGAAACTAGTAACTGTTCAGAAACTCCTTAGGAACAATATATAAAAAGTATAGCCAAATGAGTAGTCATTGACTGCATGTCTTCATGCCAGAAGAAAACAGTTTTCAAGTGCAAAGTAGTGAATATGGAGAAAACCCCAAACAACAAAGAAGAAAAAAGCTATTGCAGTAGGCACACAGTTGATCAAGAAGCAGCATCCTATAGTACTGAAAATGCATGATACCAATATTCATCAGAACAGTTAAACAGATGACTAAAGCTAGAGACTTATTCTAACAAGGGCCAAAAAGCAATTCACCAAGGTCCTCTATGGGAGCAAAATGCCTGACAGGAGATCACCTGTCTCAGGTTCCATACTTGGAAGGAACTCCCAGTCCAGATTGCCACATTTCTATGTCTTATGTGGTCCATCCACATGATTTGGAGAGCTAGTTTAGGTAATTTATTACTTCTCAGAATTCCAGCAATCAAGCGAGGGAAGCAATGTTGATCTAGCGGAGTTTAATGCCAGAGGAATTCTGCTATAGCAACTGCGAGATGTCAAAAAGGCCCCCAGGTACAGCTCAACAGCAAACCAGCTATAATCACAGCATTTGTTTCACTGTAGAAAAACCCTCCTCTTTTGCATTTTTGAAACATTGAATGTAAGATGCTGAGAAACAATGTTATAACTACAATTGATTAAAACACACGGAAATCAAGTTTCTACCCCAAAATGCTGATTATGAGAGCAAGTTTTTCCACAACAGTCAGGCATTCGAGAACTCCAAGTTGTCTCCCATGTGCCAGATGACCATCCTAACTGGTGCCTTACTGGGTAGTCAACACTTCCTCTTCCCAATAATGACTTCAAAATGATTGTTTCTAAGACATCAAGTCGTGGAAATCTTTCTCAAGGCAACTGTTGCTTCTAGCCATCTCAAGTTGGAACTCATTTCTACTTTCCCATAGACTTTCAGGCACTAAATAATATGGACAAAGAGCTTACACATATTGCATGAAAAAAAATTAATTGGATATAAACTGTGGGAAACACTGTGTGTTTTCACACTGATTTCCTACCAACTGTAACAAAAGGATGTGAACAGCCTTCCAGCTAATTCCTTACCACTATATACCTTTGTATATAGCATGCCATACATGATGTTGCTGCCTCTTCATTCCCACCTGAGAAGAATCCAAGCAGAGATGCCCTAAGGGGCAAAGTGGCCTTTGTCTGTCCGACTTGAAGTCCTCCTGAAATGCACTATGAGCTCCAGAGCGAGGGTCCCAGATGAGCCATTCCTGAAGCCTCATCATCCTTTCCAGGCACAATGATGAAAGGCTTCCAATTGCAAGCTCGGTGTGTCCCTTGTCCTTGCACCATCTTCCCAGACCAACACGAACAGATCTGATGGCAATTCTTTTGCTAGACTACCAGCACCCTTTGGAAAGCTGTCAAGTCGTAAGGATGTTACAGGACCTTTTGTTTTTTGCTACTATCCTGTACTACATGCTAGATTAGTATCCAGTCAAGTGCTCAGCCCACCACAAAAACCTTACACCTCAGCACCAGAATTACTTTGGGCAACTCTACTCACTTACAATTTGTGTACAGCATTTATGAACCAGAGGGCAACTACACCCATTAAAAAAAGTCTTCCTTGAAATGAAGGAGATGCACATGGTCTTAAACTCCAATTACGAGCTAATAAAACAAAAAGCCACTGAAGAGTCATAATATTGTTTCAGTAAAACATCTAGCAGCACAGCTTTCAAGCAACAGCTCACCACTTCAGCCAGCCTGTTCCTCTGAGCCATTTCCCCCACCCCAAAGAGGAGTTGCAACTCTACAGTTTTAGCCAGGTCAGCATTTAAAGCTCAGACCTGAGAATAAGAAAAGAAAATTCATTTGATGCCACATGGTGAGGCTATTGATTTCAGTCTAAGCTATAATAGAGCTTGCTGACAAAGAGCAGTTGAGCTTACACACCTTTCAGAAGCCTCAGGAAAGAAGAAAGAAATCCTTAGATACACAGGTAAGCAGAACAAACAAATACCTAAATAAACGGGTATCTGTACTTCCAAACTGGAGAATAAACAACCGACAGCCACCACTTCAGATTAAGGGTAACCATTGTTTATTTTGTCCATGGACTTAGACTCACATACAAAATCAAGCAGCCTTTATGAGCACAACAGTGTAAATTTTTCCAAATCCCCATGCATAGGCAGGGAGAACCATAGATCGTGTAGAATTAATTCAAATCTTCTTGAGAAGAGAAGCAAAGTTGTTTTTACAACCAACTGCCTTATAGAAAAAAGCAACATTCCTTCTTCATCATGTGTAATGTAACAACAATTGTGAGTATTAACCCCCAGTAAATCATCTTCAGGAGTACAAGATGAAAGGAAACATGGATGCTAGGTGAAGTTCACTCCAAGGCATGCTATCTCAACTTTCAAACTAGCTAAGAATAGCTCTGCAGTTATATTAAGGCACTTTTATCTTACTTCGGTAGGTGGCTAAGCAGGTCCATAAGCAATCAAAACTATTCTTATCATTTAACTGTCACCTGGGTTTTACTTCACCTCAAATACCAAAATTATGAGCAAAGTGCTGGATCAGCTGAATTTTAAGTGACCATTAAGACAGAGGATGATCCAGTTCTATATTTAAATTCCAAAAGATAAATAATATATCTTACTCAATCCAAGTTAAAAACAGTAAGTAAACAACAGTAAGCACTCCCCTCGAAGTGTATGTTTAATGTATTATATGTATGCATCTGTATACACACAGCCATACATATGTATATACACATATGCACATTATAGGCACACACCCATGCATACACACACATATTCCATCTGCAATCCAACGATGCACTTGAGCACAGGGAAGCTTACAGTCTTAACTTGGCTCGAGAACCCAAGTGAATGAAGCAATGTGTTAGAAGTAAACTAGAAGTAGCAATATTTGGTCTTGGTAAGTAGTTCGTATTCAGACAATTTTTCAGGCCCTTCTTCAAGTTCTACATAAATGATGCAGACCACGTTCATCTGACCCATTTGCACTGCAAAGACTACATAGTCTGTACTTAGTACAAATACCAGGGAGTGAATGCAGAGGTATTTTTTCTTTTGGAGATAATCAACATTTAGAAATTTCTCGAATTCATCACAAGGCAGCCAGCACCTTGATCCTTCTTTGGTCATTCAATTCAATATACCTATTCCCACAGATACAGATATATGCATGAGGTAGTGATGTTACAGATGTAACTTGCCTGGGTGAGAAATGAAAGGAACAGAACCAAAGGGATCTTCTGGAGGATTGTTCTGTGGAACAGAATGTGGCTCCACAGTCTTATCTGAAGATGAGCTCCTGTCCACCAGTCTGTCTGTAAAAAATAAAATGAAACAGAACAAAAAATAAAATAAAATAAAAAATGGCAGGTCTTATGCCAACATAAAAACATGTAACTGTTTGTGGTGAAGGGGCTAGGTACCCTGCGTTCAGATTTTCAGATAGCTTTAAAAATATCCCCGCATCTTGAATCCACACTTCCTTGCCTTTGACAATACTTATCCACACAAACCTTCTGTAAATCCCCGTGTTTCACCAAACAAAGCACAGGCTTCCTGACAGAATGCTTTACGTGAGGATACCTTTAGCAGGTTATATGCAGCATATGTGGTCTGTAATAGAAATTGCTAATCTTCTGTAGGCTGTTAAGATGAAAACAGAATCTCTATCAAAAAATCACAGAAATCATTTATCTTGTCCAAGTTTTGGCCGACCTCTACCACAAAACCAATAAAGCAAACAACCACAGAAAGAATAGCTAGAAATACTTTCTGATAAAATAAGTAACATCTCACACTAACTAAAAACCATTTGAACATTATAAAACACGAAGAAATGTAATAATTGTTTTGTAATGCCTTTGTTCCTTAGGATACTGGACTAGCTTTTTAAGACAAAAAATAAATTTCCAATTCTGTTGAAAATTAAAAGGGTCCAGGAAAACATATCACCAATTCAGAAGCGCCAGTGTGACTAATTTTCAATCTTCAGTTAGCAAATCCCCTATGCAGAGGAAATAGCATTTGGCTTTCCTCTACTTTCATAGCAACCAGCTGCTCCTCTGAAGCGCTTTCAGCACAACTCCTTGACCATTTGCTACTGTAGGGACACAGCTGAACTGTGCCCAAATCACATACCAAGCCACCTGCATGTTTGCCATTCCATCCTCCAACACAGCAACCAGGAGGTTTTCCTAAAAGCAACCACAACAGAAGAGACAACAACCTCATCTACCTCAGCTATCTATTAGCCTTACATGCAAAGCCCAAAAGTCCTGAAATGAAAGCTTTGTAGTCAAATGATGCCTGTACATGAAGATGTCCATACTCTGAGGCGTCCTATTCTTATCTGCAGTTCTACTCAAGGAAACTCAAAGACTGTTTGTTCCATTACACCCCAGCCTCCACTTCAAATGTCATCACTACTGTGGCCTCCAAGTGTAGGACATGAGGTAGCCATCACCACCTCAACATATACTCACTGCAACAAGCAAAGATTGTAACGGATTCACCAATTGTTAAAAAAAAAAAAAAAAAAAAATCCCCCCTCAAAAACCCTCCAGGGGTAGAGCTATGCAGAGCAAAATATTAGCTTACATACACAGAGGAGTAACCTGAAGAGTAAAATAGCAGCCACATGTTTTATACTATTGGCTTTGAGCCTTGATGGTCAACATTTGCAGTACATCACATCCAAAAGCAACACCTGTGTGCAATTTCACTCAAATGCCATGTGGCTGACTCTCGTCAGAGAGCAAGATTGGTTTTTTGACAGGATTGTTTGTGAGAAACACATTGGAACTTCCATGTGCATCTAGACCAAAGTGGACTAAGGAAGAGAAGCTCCTCCTCTATTACCCAAGAGGTCCTGCTTCCAGGAGACAATAGGTTGGCTGACTGTTACCCAGGTTGCAGGCAGTTTGCCCCAGAAGAATCTATTGGGGTGCAGTGATCTGAACAACTATTGTTTAGGACAATAAATTCCTGCAAATGCCTCCGAGTTAAGGCCCTTTAAGCACAAACCTATAGAAAGTACGATTTTCTTTTACCTTGAGGAAGGGCTAAGAACAGCTGATAATAAAATGAATAAAAATTCTAACATGGAAGAACCAAACTAGGCTAAAAGAGTAAACATAGCATTAATCCTCAGTCATACCTAGACCCATTGATAGAGGAATACATGACATTTCCCAGGGAAATTAAGTCTAACAACTGCCAAGCTCAGGGCTGAGGCTCTCTGAAAAAAAAAGAACTATTTGCCCTTCTGACCCAGGCACAAGTTTCATTTGTTCACCTTGTCACCAGATCTAATTCCATTTGACAGATAGTGTTTTGGAGACAGAGGCAGTGACAGTTTCTCCTATTTTGTGTAAGCAGCAGTGGACTTAATGGCACTCGAAATATTAGAGGTTGTTATGCCTCCCTTAAAGATCCAGTTGTTTTTTTAGATAATAATTCCGTGAATGCATCCAAGATCACCACCAGAGACAGAAAGCTGTACTGGGCGGCACAGCTGCCTCTTCCATAAGAAGTTATAGTGTAAGCTCATGAACAAGAGAGGCCATTTCCATAGAAGCGATTACCCCAACCTTCTTCAGCAGACAGCTCTCTTGACGTTGTCTCAAGCATGAGAAACACATGTGCACAAAGAAAACCCTGTAAGAATAAGGCAGTTTCCTGCACACATGGCCAAGGTGGTTCCCTCATGCTGCAGAGCTGTGTTTCACCAAGAAGCCTGCTACAATGTTTTTCCTGGCAAGAAAGCCACCTCATTTCCTTGTATCCAAATTCTTCAGAGGATATTAAGAGAATACTATAAAAACTTTCATTTAGCACTGTCAGAATCTCAGGGCCATTCATATGTTGATTCTGTACCTTCATCAGTAAAAACAAATAGCCAAAAGCGTTTAATCAGAGAAACAATACTCTGCACAAGCCCAGGAACTTCGTCTTTCACCTCTGTACCAAAACCCACCACCAAGATGCTCAGTCCAGAACTTTCCATTCAACTGCATACTGTTTTTCACAGTAACAATCTTTTCTTTTTAAACCATGAAAATCTTCAGCCAGTGTACACAAGGTGTTCTGTTGTAGTAGTCGTTTCTCTTTTTAAAGGGAAAATCATTAACCACCACACAATACGCATATCTAAATGCGTTAGGACCTTAAGTTATTACATGTATGAAATCATACAGCAGTGGTAGCTTCACAAAAACAGTCATGATCATCCTGAAGCTCTTACAAACACTAGCGTATATTTAATTTCTCATGTATTTTAAGGCATGCGACCACTTTAAGAATCAATTAATCATAAAGTAACTCAACAAACTGGGCTTTTTGAAAGTGAAAAAAAATACAATTTTTAACACTGTTTCAGCACCAAATGTTAGCAAACCAGTAAACCAACTTATTTATGTAAGGTACATGAGCTATACAGTACAGGACAGCCACTACGTTTAATATACAATCGAAATTTGTTCAAGCCCCAATCATCATTTCTCCTTCCTCCAGATGGCAAAATGATTCACATAAACTCCAAAATTGAGCAGACTTGGTAGTAAACAGCAGCTTTTTCTCATAAGATATCATCTACATCACAGTACGCTGATCTTTAAGATCTATCTGTTGAAATTCAAGAATTAAATGCTTTAAGACAGTTTTATAGATGTAAGCCTTAACTGTACAATAAATCCCACAATGTTTCATTACTCCATACAAATCTGAGAATCAGAGACCAAGTAGACACAATAAAAATTTTTCCTCTGAACACAGGAAAAAGAGGAAAAAACCCTCAAAACACATTGCAAAGTAAGTTAAGATGATGTTAAAGGTTCCCAGGACCTCGGAAAATTCCCGTGTTGTATACAATGCCTAGATACGTAGACAAATTAATTCCTGCCTCCACTGGGGCTCTGGAACTGAAAGGGATCCAATAGGCTTAAGAAAAGCCAATAGTGCATCTGTTACTACTTAGATACAAGCCTGCCATCTAGTGATCTTTTGGTCAAGTCACTTTTTTTTCTTTTTTTTTCCAGTTAGTTTTTTTCCTTCTTTCTCATTCTCTGTACTCAAGTGGCTAAAAAGTCACTAACACAAATGCTGGTAGCAGAGCCGTGCTGTTATGTTTACTCCCCACGCACAGCATATGAAGACTGTTATCCCATCAAGCTCTTCTGTGCATTAACCTGTCTTTATTAAGAAATGAAGAAAAGTTGAAAAGTAAATGAGTAAATTTCTTCTTTTAAAATGAAGGACTTGTACTGTTATTCATTATTTTTAGTAGATCTGTTCAAAAGACGTTATTACCTATTGTTTCTGCTAGAGATGCGGCGACAGCAGTTCAGAACATTTAGCTCCAAGCTATTCTCTCCTTTCCTCAGGAGAGCCAGTTCTTATTGGAGAAAGGTTAACATACTTGAATGAAAAGATGGAGCCTAGTCTTCCACTGTCCAGTGGATTTTCATCAAGTAAATCACATTTGAAAGATTATTTCCTGCCAGTTATGATGCCTTAAAGAACAACCTAGAAGTTTCCATTTATTCAGCATTTCAGCACAGAGAAAGTAATCCCAATTGGAAAGCAAAGGCTTTCTTGCCATGCTCTCTCAGTGAGTGACCTGGGACTGTTAGGCAAGCAGCAGCAGCTCTCATCCCTAGGCAGGTTGTATTTCCCTAGTTCTGTAGCAAGTAGTCAAACACATTGCCAGAAGTTCTTCCAAGGAGGTGTACAGAAGGAAGCGTAGGCAACTTCGCTAAAACATGAAACAGAAACAAAACAACACATACACGCATTACTAGGAAAAAGAAAGCTCCTCCTTAAAAGGAATTCTTGTTATATTCAGGAAGGCATATTTCTTGTATACCATCTTCCAGCTTTTTCATAATGCCCTCCTAAGTTTAATCTCCTTGTTAACATTCTTTTCTGTATCTATTCCAAACACATGGCTGCAGCAAACCAAAGTCACCAAGCTCACCACAACCATGGTCAGCAATCCACATGTCAGCTGAAGATCCTCAAGACTGGAGATGGTATCATCACTTTTTCTTTTAAGCTAGTCTACTCCAGATCCAAGAGGATACATTTTCAAAATGTTTCAAGGCTTCCTTTCTAAGTAACATAAGACATTTAGTTTTACTGCTGGGGGGAAGAAACACTACTTTCAATGTTAAGCTTACATCTGCCAAGGAAGCCAAAAAGCTAGCAAGAACAGTTCTCCTATCATATGATATTTATGTAGACTACATCTGAATTTGCAAACAGATGTCTGACTCGATCAATACAAGATCCAAGTCAAAACAATCCATTACCATTTGACTGACAAGATTAATAACCATCACATTCATTAAGGATCACCAGGTAACATGCACCTCTTACTCAGCTAAATTTAAACAACCAGAAATCCAAGAAGAAACATATTCAACCAAGAGGATTGATTTCTTTCAACACTTGACATCAACTTGAGCAAGTTTTTCATTTCAAGGAACATGCCCAGAGTATTTACAAAGTGTATTTTAGACATAGTCCCATCTTACAAGTCTTGCAAATAAATTTTATCTTGACAAAACTAGCTTTAGGAAGAACATCTAATGAACACATCTTAAACAAGTGAGGTAAGTAATTCCAAGGAAAAATCATTGAGAGAACTGGCTTAGAGCAAAATTTTTATTCAACTATTGCCATATCAGAACAATTAAGCAGCCCTTACATGTAGCCACTCATCAGAAAGGACATTACAAAACATTAACATAATGTAATAGACCAATTTTCTTTCAGGCATTTTCAAAGGGCGTAATAGACCCAGAGAATATTCAGCTATAGTGTGCAAGAACAAAGCTCCAAAGGAATAAAGCAAGCAGCTAAACTATCCCTCCTGACAAAATAACTCTGCTGTTTAGAACTTATTCGCAATCAAGATGACAAAAGCAGTATTTAAGAGCTAAAATATTGCCATTTCTGCAGTATTTGAGTCAGTAACTACCAGTCTTTGGACAGCGAGTTCCCATTGCACACATTTTCAAGAAGGAAAAGGAAGACGATGGGCCCATCTCTGCCCTCAAATGCTCAGAAAGAATTTTCTGTACACAGGCTGCAAAGCCCTTAGACAAGACAGCTGTTGGCACTGCTGAGCCACTACAGAGCCCTTATTTACTGTGAAGCGAAATAAGCCTTCAAGCGTCCCTTACTTGATCTTAGCAGGTCAAATTCTCTGTCCAGCAGCTCCTCCTCTGTCAACTTGGAAAAATTGTCCTCTCCAAACGGATTCCAGCCTGACATATCAGGTGGGTTATTGATGCTCTGCTTTGGGTAATGGGAAATGGTCTCAGCATCACTACCTGACCTGTAAAGTCAGTTTACATAAACAAATAGAGAAATGTTACAGGATTGTCTATGGGAGTGAAATTTGTTGCTGTACTTTATTAGGTTAAAACAATGCAGACAAGTAACAACAACAAATGCATTATCACAAATGCATTTGAAAGCTGATTTCAGGTAAAACAGATCACTTGGATTCTATGGTTCAACTGCATCATTTCTGTATGCTCTTTTTATGTTTTGTTTTTTCTTTATTCTTTGTAGCCAAAACACACAAAACAGTCATAAAGGTGACCTCTAACAACAAAAATAATCTTATCCTTGTTCCTTTCTTTTCTACCACAAGAGAATCTTAAGTGAGCTTTTTATAAAAAAAGAAAAAAAAGAAAAAAGCTTCTAAACATGCTGGGAATTCGGATCCATTTCCCTAGCTGTGAATTATTTTCTAGTATAGATTCCGTTTCCAAGCCTGTGGAGCCAACACACAAGAACTACAGGTTCTTTCTACTGACAGGAGAACTTGTAATACCACGCAATCCACTCCATGTAGTGGGTAATGGAAAAAGATTGCCTATTATTTTAAGACAAGCCTTCTTCTTTTCAAGCTATGGGATCACCCTTACATATTGCAAATAGTTGCTAGCTTCAGCTCTTTGACTAGGAGTTAGTGGCAGGATCACCATCGCTTTATCTTAACAAGCATTCAAGAATCCTGCATTTTCCACATTTACTTCCAATCCAGAACGATTCTTTCCCAGGATTATTTGCAACTGAAGTACTCTCACAACAGACTATGGAAATATAGACACTGAAGCATTTTTCCCCTTCCAGAGACCTTCTTTTAGTTAGGTTTCAGGGGAAGTCATCATTCATTACACTCTGCTAAACCAGCTTCAGTCCACAGGCCTTTGCAAAGCAGTGCACAAATTAGAACTTCTGGCAAATAAATCCTGACAATAAAGCCCCTCTTAGAGGGGGCTCCCCTTTAAAAGGGATTGGAAGACTCAAAAGAACGACTCAAGTAGAATTTGAGATGGCTTTCATATGCCCAGTACTTCTAGCACAGGCTAGTCTACCCAAAGAACAAGTCCATCTTGGTTACCTGTTAAGTGCCCCACTCTAAAGTAAAAGAAAAAAATCCAGCTGTGTAATTATTTTTAGAAATTTGTCATTACTAATGGAAGCACCTAACTCCTGACAAAAGACTAAGAAGCCATTATCACATTTAGCAACATAAGCAATTCAGAACCCTTGGGCACATCTGCGACTAAATACTTGCCTGCTTGCAGTATAAGCAGAATCCACTACTGTTCCAACGTGCACTGGAAGCGATGCAGGGTAGGAGATTAAGGCTGGTGAGAAATCTTGCGGAGAAGTGATATATTCAGGAGATTGTGCCTGTTTTGACTGCTGTTGCTGCTGAGCAAGCAGCTGCTGCTGTATGAGAGCCTGCTGATATTGCTGCACCTAAATAAGATAATCAAGTTATTAAAATGCACGTGACCCAGTCTGAAGCCATGCAACTTCCAGAAAAATGCAGAAAGAACCAAGAAACCTTGGTAGCTTCAGCGGATGCAAGAAGCCAGATCTCTACTATGTAAATTAAAAAAATGCTCTAATAAATCATTCACGGATATCTTTTTTTCTCTTACTGCTTAGCTTTTTACAGTTACTGCAAGCTGAGCATTTGCTACACCAGCACTAAGAAGACTATTTTCACCACAGACATTTGACAAGCTAAAATTTCATGACCGTTTCTCCTCCTGGTTTTAGGAAAATAGATTATACCAACTAGCTTTCTTGCTTGACCCATACTTTTAGGTAAGGGTAAGTTTTCAGCACGCTGCAGCAGCATATAGAACTTGCAACAATTATTTACTCTTTAGTGAAACCACTAGGAAAATAATTATGTGATGATAGAATATCTGACCATTTCAACAGAGAATACCATTAATAACCAAAGTCTTCTTAGGTAGTTTTACAAGAGCTTAAAAAAATAAATTAAAGATTCAGTCAATATAGATCATCAGCAAATGATGAAGTTCATTTTCAGTTCATTTCCCTTCCATTGAACATTCCAGTGCAGTAACAAAATCTGTGCTTTCAGTATGCCCTTAGGTAAGGATTTCTCTGGGTTAGATAGGTTATAATCATTATAATTCAGCTAAGCTTACACACATACCACTCCATTATAAAATAATTATTTCAGGTTGGATGTTAAGAAATCCAGCAACATAAGGGTAGCAACTGTACTGATATTCCCTTGTTTTTAAAACTTCTTTATGACTTAGGCATTTTGTATGGGTTCCTCAGGTGCACTTATAAATGCAGCTCCTGCATAATAAGCGCAAGTACAATAGGGCCTGAAACAGGGGTTGGGAGCTGTTTGTCTTTATATAGTTTAACTACTTGGTCATCTCAGACACATTTTAAGTAAGACTTCAATGCCACCATGCTTTCTAGGTATCGCTTCTTAGAAAAACATCCATTTGGCATTATGGTCATTACTGTAAACCTTAACCACCAAGTATCCTTTCAAATCAGTATATAATTATTCAACATGGATTAGAACATACTCCTTTTAATTAATATAAATGCATAACCCCAAATGGGTTGTCTCAGTTGAGTTTGGGTCAATATCTTTTTTTTTTCTTCCCACTAAACATTAGTTTAGGCAGCTTCTCAGTATTTACCATGCCTTCTTTAGGTCGTTACAAACGCTCAGGCTCTTGTGGCACACTGCTACTGTACCACAGACTGCTAAACATACCACATATTTTACCATCATAGCACCTCTCCTCCATGCTTCACATACCATAGCGGGATACTGAGACTGAGAAGGTTGCTGCTGGTACATAGACTGCATCAACAACTGCTGCTGGACCATCTGCTGGTGCATTATTTGTTGATACTGTATTTAGAGAGAAATTACAAGTTTTTAACAAGTCACTATTCCCATTCCTAAATTATGTAAGTATTTAGGACAATCACTGGATAAAGCATCACCACTGTGCCCCAAGAGCATTTTTCCATTAAGAAGCCTCATAACAAAGAAGCAGCTTGCTATTCAGGCTCTGCATTTTAACAGCAGTGTGCCTGGGGACTTTTGCCTTTGCTCCCCTGCAACTAACACCAGCCTTTTGAGCAAAAGATTATATCTACATATTATGCTCTGCGTTTTAAAGGGACGTTATTTATCACCTCAACTTCCAATATTTTAACAAGCACTGAGGCCCTTTGGAAAAAGTAAAAAAAAAAAAAAAAAAAACAAAACACCACACACAACACCACACACAACCACATACAAACACCCTAAACAGCTATGTTGTAAGCAATAACGCCCAACAGGCTTTACAGGAGCGGGGGGGCAGTAAACCAACAGGGGTAGTGAACTGCCAGGGCCTGAATGACAGGCCCAAGTCAGGCTTGACTTACAGATAAGTACGGCTCTGCCTTTGTAGAAGCACACAGAACTCACTCGCAGAACTGCTCATTCTAACTTGCACATAGTCCTGCTGGACTGCTTATGCTAATCTGCATGAAGGCTTATTAAAATGTAACTTTTGTAGGCTCTCATGCAAGCGGTTTCAACCTTGAAGGGAACCCTTCCATATGAGACCTGGGCTCCGACTAAGCCCCGGTTGATAGGGAAGTGTGCCACACCAGATGCTACTGCTCAGAAAATACATGTTATCGTGATTTGCTGATTTGGCTCTCTAAGGTGGACCCTCTTGCTGTGACCTTGGAGACCTCACTTACAGGAGGACACACCATGTACGACCTCCCAATTGCCAGGAAGGTTCTCCAAATCCTCGCTGCAACAGGGGCTCCCCAGCAACTGCAGATCTGGATGATGGTAATGTATTTAGGCAATGCGTGATATATCTTTTTCTTAATCACTATTCTCTTTCTCGTATAGCAATGGTTAGGCGCATTACTTTGCTTATTTTGTCTGTTGCTAAAACCAAGCATGTAGTGAGCTTATTGTTTTGTTAGATGAATCATTTTGTATTGCCTTAATATTAATAATGAATTAAGACTTATTTCCATCGGTGTCTGGTACTTTCTGTTGCCTCTCCATCAACCAGGAAAACAAATGGCAATAGGTGTGTTGGATAAGACCCAAAAGATTTCATCTCACCTAAATCTCCCTCTGTTTCACTTTTAAGTAGCTATGCCATGGTAGAGTTAACATGTAAACTAAGCTCCTATATTTGACAGCACACACATTGGACAGTGTTAGAAAATGTGATATCTGTTAAAAATCCCAGCTGACTGAAGAACCAGAAAAACAAAGCATGTCATTGACCAAAAAGAAAACATGCCTAGTTAGATGGTCTAATTTAGAAACGCTTATTACAGGCATAGCATTAACATCTAGATCATCCTTAATATTTCCCTCAAGCATGCTTATACAAGCCCAGAACTTTTATTTGGGCAAGACGATGTTGACTGAAAGCTGAAATTCAGGTTTAGGCAGCACAAACTAGACAGTGTAAAGGAAGCAACTTTCTATAACAAGTATTACAGTATCTATGCATGGGAAAGATGTGCAATCCAAGTTCAACAGAAGAGGCAGCTGCAATAATATCATTGCTGCTATTTTAGAAGCATCTCTAACAAGCTTGATTTGTACCTGCTGCATATAAGGATCCTGAATTACAGGTTGCTGCTGCTGCTGGTGATGTAAATGGTGCAACTGCTGTAGTCTCCAGTCCCCCTGTTGCAGTTGCTGCAGAACTCTGTTCTGCTGTGGATGAGGCTGATTGGTCCCTTGGGGCAATAACATTTCTTGCCCATTTCCAGGTCGCGTGGTTCCTAGAGTATTAAAAACACACTGTTAACATAGTGATTCCCCATGTTTAAATACAGAATTGCCCTGACAGTTAGCCTCATTTTTAAACACAAATAATCAAGGTTAAATAATCTGTAGCTCACTTCCCAGTTTGTAAATTGGTGCTGTTACTGTATATTTCACCCTTTCTGAAGATAAATCGCAGGCTTATCAATCCACAATTTCCACTTGCAGGATGTGAGACTCTTCTTTTGCCTTCAGTCTACAGTGACCCAAACAGCTAGTTACAAGGGCTCTACTTGACTAACACTTGAACTTCAGTTTCTACTATCTCAAAACCCTAGATCCGCTTCAACTCAATACTAGAATCCACCATTCCCTTCCTTGTAGTCTCCATATTCTCATCAGAGCTATCTCCTTCAAGTGATAAATTCCTTCGAGTGAAAACAGGCAGTAAAACCTTTTAGATTTTCTATGTATTATCAGAAGCACAAAATCCCCCAACAGCCAACATATTACCCTGGGACTTCATACAAAGGCTGTTTAAATGTGGATTTGTGCATTTGAAAGCATGCCACACACTTTTTTTAAAAAAAGGAAAACCTATTGCCTCATGTACTTGTAATACACTCATCAGATGTTCTGTTTGAATCCATTCATTTTTGTAGCCTTTTAAGAAAATGGTTACTAAAACACAGTCTCTCTTGTATGCTGCATATATATTCTGAAGCTCCCAGACTTGATCTGCTCCTTGCCACAACAGGACAAGCTTTCCCAGTTGCATGTTAGAGGGACACTATTCAGTGAACATGGCTCGCACCGGGGACACTAACATACGCAGTGGCCTTTCAATTGGAGGCCTTCCCAGTGCCATCCCAGAAGCTGTTCTTCAATAAATCAGAATCTCCACTTACTAATGAAAAATTAAAACCAAACAAAAATAAAGCCACACACATACAAACACATCCTGTAACAGGACAGTATTTTCTCTTTTAAAGAGCACCACTAGCTAGTAGTAGACTGACAGGTTCCTCACAGGTTCAACAGTCTAGTTACTCTGCCTCCAAAGACTTGCCTAGGCAAATTCAGCTCCCGTTGAGCACCCTCAGACTTGTAGGATTAGCAGCCGAGAACCGGCTCGGCGTTCACCCAGAAAGCGCATCCTGGAAGCTGACAGTACCTACACTTAGAAGAGTCATTAGTCACTACAGTAAACATATGATTTGCATCCCGTTAATTTACGTTTCTTGAGAAGTTGTTGTTAGGAAGCACAGAATCAGACAACAGGAATATGTGCATCACGTATTTCTCCCCTAAAAGGAGGAAGAAATGATGGAGAGCAGGGAAGAATTTTTTGAAACATGAAATCTTTTTTATCATATGGGATGCAAGAACTAACTAGGACCACAAGATTCATTTTTCTCCGAACATTCCCCAATTGCTAAACTCCCTCTTACAGCAGTTAAGAGAATCCTTTTTTGCCTTCACAAGAATTATCTTCACTTACACTCAGTTCTGATTTGTGCCTCTATTTAGTAGTACACTTGGGCTTCCAAATGTGTACTGCAGTATAAATATTGCAGCAGATTCATAATATCAAAAAGCACTATTAAGAATGTATTCAAGATACAAATTAACACTATTCATATCTATTCTCTTCTAAAGAGATTAAGAAAAACTCAACACACACACACACCCCTACCCCCCAGGACTTAACTGAAAACACATTTTACACGATTGCATCTCCTACTCTTACCCTTCTCTTGTACGCAAAGTGCACATGGAAAACACTTGTCAGTCATTAGAGAGGTGAAGTTTTTACATGGTGTCAGTCTACAAATAATATCAAGATTTTATTGCCATTTTGTGATTTATTAAGGCAAAGAACAGCATTTATTCTAAGAGGAAGGAAGGTGTTTCTTGCTAAAGTAGAAAGATTACTTCTAATAACTTCTTAGACAAAACTAAACATGAACTCCTCTCTCAGTCCACAGCAGAAAAGTTACTTGAATTAAAAACAGCACATCAAGTGTGTTTAAACAAACCCTTCACTTCTCAACTCTGTTTAGTATTTGTGACTCCTGGCCAAACTCACTACTGGTCCTTCCAGAGAAGATGAAAATTTCAGTGTATAAAATAAGACGGAATCAAGACTAAGGTCTTGTTGCCCTAGTAAGCAACAAGAGAGAGAAATTCACAGCATATTTTAAGGATTAATCAAAACAACTGAAGGCCTGAGCAATTTACCTTTTTGCCCACGATTACCAAATTCACCAGGAACTTGTACTTTGACTGGTGTTGCTGAACTCTGGATCGTCAGCACGCTTGGAGTAGCAGCGCTTGAATTGGCCTTTGGTCTTTGACGTGGTGCAATTGAGGTTTCTGTTGGTCCAACGGTGTCTGTTATTCTGAAATGTAAAGTTTTCCATAGAAGCTACTTCATTCAAAACAACTATTTCTTTTTTTTTTTTTCCAATTAGACAACGTATGTCTTAATAGCTCAATTAGACTTGAACCACATGCTTCTCTCCTTTTCAAAGGGATCTTAACATCTTAAACTTGGCTGACAAAGTCACCTAGCACCCCTTTCAACCCTTAGAAAGAGGACTGCTACACAACACTGTAAGGAAGAGCTATTTAACAGTCTTATTCCCAAGGAGACCAAGGCACAAGATAAAGATTAAATACAACCTTGCAGAAGTCTCTGGAATTTGCATTCATGAATTGAAGTTGTGTGCAGTGTCCTGTAACTGGGAATACGGCTACTGTTCACACATACAGAAAACAAGGAACCATCTTATCTGTTTAGTCAAATCTTTTCTGTTTTGAAAAGAGAGATTTAACCTCTAGCACTTATATCATCTGTCACTTCCAGCTACTTAAGTCTTCCCTAAAATATTTCCAAGCAGTATAATATTTTGCCAGGCTAAAAAAGATGTTTGAAACCAAAGAACTACTCCAAAGCTTTCCTCACATTTTCAGGTTGTACTCTAGGCATTTCTTAAAATTGGCAAACTGCTTAAAAACAGTAATTTACCATCTCAGCTACAAGTACCAAACATCTTGTATTAATTACTACTGTACTCATATTAAGACACCATCTGTTTTGCTTCCTGTAAAGTCTGGCCATGAGGAAAATGTTCTTTTGGGAGAACTAGTAATTTTCCTAACACTGTCTGACAGCTGGACTTCAAGATGTTCCACAGAGAGCCTATGCCTGCCTTCTACTGCATGAGGATGGATGGGAGGGTCAGCAAAACCAGCAATGGTACCAGACCACAAAACTAGTTTAAGACACCACAGAAATATCTACATAGCCCAAAGTGCGTTTGATGAGCCCATTCATTTGCTTCTCATTCACAAAAGGCTACTACAGTCACTGTCAAAATTGAGCTGTTGAATACTCATACAGTGAGTTCCATTAAAGCCCCCCAAACTTTGAATACCACAGAACAAAGATGCAAAGATGTCTTCCAGCTATATCATTAAGGATACACCATTTATCATAGCAAAATGAAGACAAAGATTAAGAATGTTTTTTAACAAAAACATTTAACAAAATGAACAGTGCAAAAGTACATCTGGGCATATGCAGTTGAATTTGTGAAGAAATCCAGGCCACTTTTTTCCAACACAGTGATCGGACAAATGATAGACCTTTGTTTTCATCCATAATGCATTACTCTGAACCTCTATTAAAACCTTTTTGTCTCAGAATTTACTCATGACACTAAAAGAAAAGGAGACCAATTGCATACTGCTAGCAGTCAGCTCTTTCTACTACGAAATGGGAATCTTTGCTTTCTCTCAATGGATTCTCATTACATCAAAATAAGCAATGGAACAGAATCCAAAGACGGACTTGGAAGCATTTGCATTTGTGGTGTACATATTCTCATGGTCTTTGCTTCTGAAGTCTCTATAAAATCAATGTGCAGTTTAAAGAAATGCAACAGCAACAAAAAACCACTATACCCTTCACTCACCTTGCTTTTATTTGGCTTTTTCTAGCAGCTGCCTCACTAGCTGTCATGGGTTCAGGGAGAGTTGAGGGGACAGGAGAATTCTTGGGAAAAATAAATTTGAATAAATTAAAAAAGCAAAGTCCTGAAAGAAAAAAATCATTACAAATTGAAGAGGAATACTTGGACCCAAGTTATTCATGTTACAAGGTGTCATGCAGAACTCACTCATCTGGCTGTAGATTTAAAAGTGTTTTACTATAACAGTTTTCCAATACTCTTATGAAAGTAATAGCATCTAACATGTTACTAGTCTGAAGCACTATTACCTCTACAGGTTCACTTCATTTATACACTATCAATGAGGAGCAGTAAAGTGCTTCTGCAAGATGTTTCTTTCCTAATTTGCTTACAATTGTAAAGAAAAAAAAAAAACTTTTAACTTTTAGCTTAAGGATTATATCCTTAATCATAAATTTCAGGAGAAATGGGAGTAGTTTAACCCACTCATCTCTGCAAAACCTTCAAGTTGCAACTTAACTCTTTACTCCTGTGGTCCAAAATACTAAGTGCTAATATTGGCATTCCAAATATTCAGAAGCCCTTTCCTCACTTAAACCGGTCATCACCATGGTAGTAGAAGCCTTGAATCCTTCATCAATAAACTCTCTACCCCTCTCCCTGCAGTCCCAAACCTCATCCTGAACTACAGTTAACCCCTGTGATGGAAGAGATCAGACTAGCCACTTGTAAAAAACATTTAAGATCACACAAGGATTCCTCAGTGTCAGGTTTTGACCACAGCAAACTGAAAAGCAATTCCAAGCCAGATACCAAGAATATCATCCCTCCCTTTCAGTCCCATGAATATTGCAACTCTAATCCTAACCTCTGCCACAATCTGAAAACACCTTGTTCTCTAAAGCTCCTTAGTTGCTATGATCCCTGATAGCTTATCAAAGTACCAACAAATTCACTTACTGCTGCTAGCGCTTCTGACACCATAGTTCAGAGATGTCAGAAAATGAAGGATCATACCATAACGCTTCCCACCACCAAAACACAGAGAAGTTATGGTCATGAAGAATGTCATTTCACACCATTCCTCCTCTCCAATCCTCAGATATTCATTATACTCAAGGAAGGAGGCAATGCTTTCCTTATATTAGTATTAAAGATAAGGGTTAAAAGCACAGATCAGGTGTAATTCATGAAGCCATGTCCTCAGAATTGCCATTTTGTTTAGAATAAAAACATTTCATGAGTTCAGTATGTCCATGAAATGTATTCAGCCCAACATATTAATTAATTAATTCAGCCCAACACAATCAAGACCAAGTTTGAAGAGGAAATTAAAATCCTTTTCTGTTGATTTGATAGCCTTGTACTTTTTTTCCTTTTTAAACAACTCCAAGACATATGAAACCTATGAAACCTAATAAAAATATGGAGAAAGGTCAAAGACCACTTACATTAATATTGGACACTGGACAATCCTTTTTGGCAAGTTTAAAGGCAAAGAAAGATACTTGAAAGATATCTGGTCTCTGTTCTTGATCTGGTTCAAGCATATACCCTGCAAAAATTGGAGAGAGCAGTTCCTGCCTTTAAAAGTGAAATGTCTGTTACGCAGTGTGCTACAAGCAAAAAAAAAAGTGAACTGAAGTACTAAGTCATTACTTAAGACAGAAAGAAAACAATGTACTACACAAGCATTTACTAGGATTAATACTAAACTCTGTGTAATTGATGACAGATACACAAAAATATCTGTTTTATTGTTTACATCAGATCACGGGCCTACATTATCCTCTATTCTGTGTGGTTCATCTAACACGTAACCATATTTTTGTAAAAAGGCTCAATGGATAAAAGGACTTTTTCAGACAAGGCACAAATGTGGGAGGTCCCCCTCAAACATCATCTTCCCAGATGGATACATGGATACTCTGAATACCATGTAGGTGAAATCCTCACTGAGGAGGAGGAAGTTATCTTCATATTCAATACAGTGATCATCAAGTTGTATTTTCACTGGGTTAAAAAAAAAAAAAAAAAGTAGATTTGAACTAACAGCAATATCAAAATTTAGTGGAAACGGAGCACTTATGAAATGAATCCTGCCACTTGATTCTGAAACCATACATTCATAAGGTGGAGAAGGTTCAGCTTGCTGCTTTTTTCTTCCCCTTCTCCCCCTCTTCTTCCCCAAAACAAGGTCAGCCCTCCCTGAAACATCTTTTATAACCAACTTCCACTCCAAATGAAAAGGAATGTTGACTTGTTGAAATTCTTCCTCACCCACATTTATTCCATGCCAGAAAATATTTATCTTCACACAAGAATTAGTTGAAATTGAACATATCAGAGTTCATGACTATTAGCGGACAGGATTAAACCTGTACTCACTCTCCCTCCAAGAACACTGTCTGGCTTTGCTCAGAGAGGAGAATATTTAATCACCTGTAAATTCATATTACATTTTGGCAGGTATTAGGTACTCAAACAAGACCAGATAACTTATTTTTCCATAACATACACACACCATGCTCCAAAAAGCTTTTCGAATTCAACATTTCCTATTACGCAAAGCATGAACTGTGTGCCCTATATAACCTAATTTTCAATTTTGAATGTAAGAGCTCTTATTTCAACATCCTCCTATCACCATGTTTTGAGAGGCACTATTTTTGAAGTTAACTTGGTCCCAGTTCAAAAGGAACACACTAGAAATGTCTGGTTCTTAAAGGAAATATTAGGTCTGGTATCCTCGTATTCACATGAAGATGCAAAACGCTAACCTCAAAACTCACTTTTCCTCCCAGTTTTGCTCTATACTCTTTATACCTGCTAATTTTTAGCAGAGTTGACACTCCAGAGTTTTGGTTGCAGGCAGAACTTCAAATTAGTACTGTAGTATAAACCCTGTTGTAAAATCTTCTCTGCAAATTGAATTTTCTACACTGCACTTGTACTTTAGATTCACCTAGCTAGCCGTATTTGTCTAGCTTGGATAAATGGTGTAGCCTGGCTGGGCTGTTGAGTTAGACACATCTAAGTCACTCCTCCATACCAACAGGGTCTTTTATTCCATTTCTGAGACAAGCAGTTGAATGCCGTGCAGATACTTACTTATCAAGCAGTGCATATTGTGAGTGTATCGGGAATTGTCTGGAATGGTAAAACTTCCATCACAAATAGCAACTTGACTCTCTCCAAAGGGAAGCGAAAAGAAACAAAGTTTATACAGCAAGCAGCCAAGTGCCTGTAAAAGCAAACAGAGGCACTGTGAAGGGATGGGAGTGAGGCACTTAAAAAATAAAAATAAAAAATAATAATAATTAAGAAAGCATCAGCTAGAAAGAAATGGCATCCTAGCCACAGCTGACGCTTGCACTGGTATGTAGCAGCCACATGATCTAACACGCTGCCCATGTGATAAGCCAGTATATGAAGAGCAGGGCTACAAGAGCTTTCCTTCCCACCGACTATTACATTAGACAATGAGCAACTAGTAAAACTAAATCAGCTGCATGTGCACACTCATAAGGCCCAAAAATACTGGTAGCGTTTCTGTTGAATTTAGTCTTTATTTACTACATTGTAATGACTTCCAAACACATCACCTATTAAGTGGACTTAACCATATCATGGTGTCCCCAGGTTTCCACGAGAAATCATCACTGACTATCAAGCAATAATCAGTCAAACAAAAGCAGAAGAACTAAATAATTACTGTTAACTGAAAACACTCACCACACATGGTACTCGCCTGACATGCAAAAAAAAATCCCTCTATTATACTCTTCCACATACAGCCTCCCTCATTTCAGAGGGATAGTTTTACAATCAGACCAGCATGGCTTTTAACCACTTCTTACTCTAAAGTGCCACAGTCTACTCTCTCTCTCTATATGTGTGTGTGTGTGTGTGTATATATATATACACACACACACACACATATATATATATATATATATTTTTTTTTTTTTTACTCACTCAGATGTCTGCCTTGGTAGTAATTGGTTTCCCTCCATACAGGTTGATCATTTCAGGAGCTCTGTAGGAGAGCGTTGTATACCTAACAGTACAAAATTAAAAGATGACATAGATAAAAAATTTGCCTCAGGACCAAAAGCACCTTTCCCCGTGTCTATTCACACCCAAGTTCCTGATGTGCATCCTGAGCTTTCTCACACTACTTAAGTTTCTTTCTGCAATCCCCCAACATAAAGTATCAGAGAGAATATCTAGAGTAGCTCCATAACATGGATTATTGAGGATGACCAAGCCAAGTCATCTAAAATTTCCTCTTAAAAATATTTCCCAAGCACCAGGGAAATAGTGCCTCTCTACTTACACACTGCTATAACTGAATAGTTCTATGAAACATGTACAGTTATTTAAGAAAGTTCCATGTCATACTGGAATGTACAGCAGGCACCCTTCACAAGAACCAATTTCTCAAAAGATAGTTCAAATCCTGAAGAGTATCACAGTAAAATTTCCAAGAGTGTTCATTTCCCTGCAATAGCTGCCAAAGGACCAAAACGAACCAATGCATATTTAAGAAGGCTCCTGCACTAAAGTTTAATTTTCTGATCAGTCTTGGAAGAAAGAATAGAGCGCGCTTTATCAGTAACATCACAAGCAGACCCATTCTAATGCTTAAAAACTCCAGTTCATTTCCTCTCATACATTTACCATTTGTTCAAATAAAATGGCACATTTGAAAATAACAGATTCCCCAACTAGACATTAGACAGATGTGTATTTGCCAACTGTTAGACTTCCAAGCTCGATGCTTTTCTAAATGCTCTTATTCTACTCGGTGCCATCTTTGCAGAAATGACCTGCAAATCACCTGGGAAAAAGCTCCATTACTCAGATTTGCTGTTTTCCTACATTAATCTCAATATTTCTTCAACTACTAAGTTAAATCAATACACAGTTCAACCACTGTTTATTGGAATGCAAAAGATCACAGAGTAATACATTGCCTGTCCAGTGGCACATTGAGTGCTTCTGATAAATCACTGCAAAGTGAAGCCAACTTACTTTTTAATTTCTTCCTCAACCAAATTAATACCATCTTTTTGAGGATTTAGAAATTTATTAGTGGCGCTGCCAAAATCACAGAGAACATAATTTCCACTATCGTTTAATAATATATTCTCCACCTTTAAGGAAAATCAGAAAGAGTAACATTAGATGAAACAATGGCATTAATCTTCAAGGTTGCTATTAAAACACACTCTTCCTCTCACAAACTCACACAAGAAACAACTTTCAGAAGAATCAAGTAATAAACTTAGCATGTGCAATCAATTTTGTTGTCTTGTTTAGTTTTCTTATTTTAACTCCCCCAAAAGCACATATTCCCCCAACCAAAGTCAACCTCTTAAAAACACACTCATTCTTTTTGAAGGGGATGGCTCCCTTTCAGCTATAGATTCCTCTGCATTTAAAGCTCATACCTTTAGATCCCGGTGAACTATAGGAGTTTTGCACTGATGCAATCTGGCAACGGCTTCGCAGGTATCACAAAATATTCTCATTACTTCTGATTCAGTAAAGCCTGTCTGCAGACGCTGATTCATCTGATTCACAACCTGTCCAGCTGAAGAAGTAGCATAGATTTTAGTTAGTTTGTTTTTTTCAAATACTTGGTTGATTTATAGTAGTTAGCTTTTCACATTGAAAAAGTGCACAAATAATATACAATAATGTTTTACACAAGATAAAGCAGTCCTTCATTTTCAAATCTTGCAATCCTATATCACCCTAGGCAGAAAAATTATCATCTCCAACAAGCAAACAGGAACCCTATGACAGAAATCACTTTGGGACAACTGTTGTGAACATAGGTTGCTGTAGAGAAACAGGATACGGAAGAATATTGAGGAGACGGGTGATGGTGACTGGCCAGACTGTTCTGAAACATGCTGGCCTAACTGTACTATACTGTATGCTTGGCTTATGGCTATGCCACATGCACCACGTACACGCAACAGCATAACACAGAATTCAGTGTGCTTTTATAAATTCCATCATATTATGATGCTTATTATGCACTGTTAGCACCAATTGAGTTGTAACACATGACAATCATGCTTAGTAGTTCTATGAGAGCATATATTTCTCTTCCCTCCCCACTCCTCACCACGGCTCAGTGCTCAGCAGAACCTGGGACCTCCCTGTCCTTCTCAGCCCATTGCCCAGAAAATGCAAGGAGCCCTGGTGCTGAAACAGAGGCAATAAAAGCCTTCACTTGACTGAGTGCCCTTAGGGCACTCAGGTGACTGTATCACCCCATACCTACAGGTTGCAAACTCAGTTACAAAGCTGTATGGCAATGACTTTCACATTTTATCAACATGTTCAAATTTAGTGCGTACTACCAACGGCGAATAGAAACGTGAAAACAGGTAACAGCTGAGAGATCTGGACTTTATCCCTTTAAATTAAGGGGAAAATATTACATAAAAATCCAAGTTTAGCAATATGAGTGTGAAATCCAAAGAATAATCTCTTACCTCGACAATACTCCATGAGAATGAGTACCTCCCAAACATTATCACTTATAGAATTAACCGCGCAATCCAAATAGACAACAATATTCTTGTGCCCAGACAACTCTTTCTGTAAGATAAGGGAAGGGGGGAAAAAAAATGTTAAATTTCAATATAGAGCATGCAGACAAGTCCAAACGGCTGTAATCTGCAACAACACTGTGTATTGATCTTATGAATAGCCTTGAGAGGTAACAGAGAGAAATAAAGTTCCTCTTGCCACTTTCAAGGCAAATACCTGATAGGAGCACTATAAACAGACACGAGACAATATTGCCAAACAATCTCTCTGTTTCTCTTAGTTTATTCTTCAGCTCAAAGAACAAATAAACAAAATAACCCACACAGATGATGTAAGCTATGCAGTAGGGTTAATTGTTTTAATCTACACTGATAGCAATTTTCTCAATGTTGGATGGCTCAAGCACATATTTAAGCCTACAAAAGATGACAATATTTGCCAAAGTCATCAGCAGCCTAACAAGTGAATATAGAACTACAGCATACAAAATGAACATGTGGCATGTAGAACTTAAAGCATTCAGCTATCATTTCAGGACCCAAATTAAATATTTTATGGGGCAGCAAATGTAATAACAAAACTATCAACTATGGAATCAAATACATTGTCGTAGATGCTTTTTAAGTTGATCACGTACTAACCCTACACTGAGCATTAATCTCTAACTACTAAGCACTGACTACAGGAACCCAGGGCCATAAGATGAAAAGAAAACATAGTTTACAACACAAGACATTTAGCAAAGAGAGGTATCATATACATATTGTAAATAAGCATGCACTACAATTTTAAGTCATGTACTATTTTACCATAATTGTAATTTCTCTCTTGCATATGTTGAGATCTGGCACGCTGTTAACACACATTCGCTTCAGTGCACATCGTACTCCACCGTGGGTTCGTACCAGAAACACAGTTGAGAAGCCACCTAGAGAGAACAGTTAGACACAAACAATGTTAAACGACTCTGTTATTCCTCCAACCAATATCCCTGTGTGCCAGGAAATGAACACTTGAGCCCTGCTCCCAAACTCAGTGCCTTTTTTTTTTTCTCCTTTTTTCCCTCACTAGCAAAGAAAAAGTACAACAAATGTTGTTATACACAGAAATCAAGTAAAACGGCCTACACTGAAATTATGCCAAACACTTGTGCAAACCAAAGAAGCAGCCCTCCCTCTCACCTGTCTTGCACGAATCCTTAACACAGCTCACAGCCTGCAGCACATTAAGTGCCTCAAGGTTCACGTGCACAGATTGGCCACGTTTTTAGGAAGACCGTGTCATGAAGGAGCTCAGATGAACCCCTACTTCCCTTAATGGACTGCTATCTTATGGTAAACCCACCATTACCATGAGAAGTTTCTACCAGCACAAAAACCAAGTTTCACAGTCAAGATAGAAATATGCGAACTAGAACACTTAACTACTCTGATCCTCATATAGACAACTGAAATGCAGATGTTTCAAGTTGCCTGATGTAGTCTGCCAAGTATCAGCTATAGAATCTACTGCTTCACATTAGGTAGCAGCTTCATCAGAAGTGTACACTAAGATTTACAACCAAGGAAAATGGATTTAATTACGAAATTCTCTTTCAGATCAAATACTCATTTAGACAAGTAAAAGGTAATTATGCTAAAAATCAGATGCTATGATTTTGCCCAGAATTACTGCCAATTTTAGTACAGCAACCTAAGTTCTTCAAAAATACTGGCATAACTCTTTTTGCCATTAGGTGGCAATATTAACTAATTCTTAAACCCGGAAACAATCAAAAAAGCAGACATACTCTCCTTTTTGCCCAGTGATAGGTGACCTTGACTAATTTTCTTTTAATTGCCATTTTCCAGTAAATGACAACATGATAAAATGCCAGTGAGATCTTTCATCAAAGAACTAATTCTGAAGAAAGCTTGATTATGTATACATACACACATATATATTCACCAGAATCCTAAAAGGAATCCCGATGGGTTAGAGTTTTGCCGGACAAAAATTTCTAAAGCACCAATGAACTTTCCCAGTTGTCTCCAACACTAAACTTCTCCCTGAAAGCACCAAAGCAAACAATAACCAATTCTGTAAATGATGACGGGAACAGAAAGACCCTCTGAGATAAGCAGAAGTTGCTAATGTTTGGGATTCTCCTAGAAAACCTTTCATGAAATTCTGGTAAACTGTTGCTATGTTAGTAGGAGCAAGGAGGAAACAAGAAAGTCACAAACATTTTCTTGCGGGACATTTTACAGAAACATAACCACAAGCAGAGAGTAGTTGCTTTTTCCTAGGCACTCAGGATTACCAGCTACACTTGCACAGGTAGGTCTGCAAAAGAGTTTCTGTTTTGCTAGTTTTTTTATGACCTGAAGAAATTGTCTATCATCAGACACCAGTAAAGACAGGAAACCTACACAGTTTTCCAGTACAGAATACATAAAAACCACACACCACACACTTTAGAAACAAAACTAACAAATGCTATGCACATCCGGTGACAATTAAGCTCCCAATTTTAAGACATCATCTTCCCTATACACTTGCATTCTACACCACCCATCCTGAAATCCCTGAGTGTAATCAACTAGCAAATTAAACAGGTACCCAGACTACCAATGCTTTTGGCAATACGCTACACTCAAAGCAAGTGAGTTTACTTCTCAGGAAATTATTTCAGGTATCTTCCTAAAAATGCCACTAATACAGATTGCCCAACAGATTTGTATGCAAAACCTAAGCCCAAATAAGTGTCTTTCTGAATGACAATAATACCAGACAGCTTGGCTACCCTCATATGGCCTGTGTCAACCTCAAAAAATATTTAAAAACAGTCCTGGGTGAACCAATACGAAATACTCAGCTAGAGGGATTGTAGCCTAAGGACTTAGATGATACTACTTAGAAAATAAAACTTAGCTACTTCCAATTAAAAATAATGACTATTAATAATAAATACTAACAAATAAATGAAAATATTAAAACACATCCTTTGTATTGTGTTCCAGATGGGGAGATTAGAAATGTTCATAGAGTCACAGAATGGTTAAGGTTGGCAGGGACCTCTAGGGATCACCCAGTCCAACCCCCTGCTCCAGCAGGGACACCCAGAGCATGTGGCACAGGGTGGCATCCAGGCGGGTTTTGAAGATCTCCAGAGAAGGAGACTCCACAACCTCTCTGGGCAGCCTGTGCCAGGGCTCTGTCACCCTCACAGGAAAGAAGTTCTTCCTCATAGGGAGGTGGAACTTCCTGTGTTTGAACTTACACCATTGCCCCTTGTCCTGTCACTGGCGATCACCGAGAAGAGCCTAGCCCCATCCTACCTACATTCACCCCCCAGGTACTTGAACATGTTGATCAAATCTCCTCTCAGCCTTCTTTTCTCCACACTAAACAGGCCCAGCTCGCTTAGTCTGTCCTCATACGATAGATGCTCCAGTCCGTTAATTATCTTTGTCACTCTCCGCTGGACCCTCTCTAGAAGCTC